CATTTCTCTGCTGAGCTGGCTGCAAAAGAATCACCTGGGGAACTTGTTAAAAATAAAGATTATCGGGCTCCACCCATTAACTTTTCCCTGCAGATCAAAGGCAGGGCTCAGGAATGTGTTTTTCTTTTTTAAAATAAATGATACAGAAGGTTATATGGTGAAAAGCAATTCTCCCTCTGCTCCTGATGTGCTTGGCATTCCTGCTTCATCAATCAGTAAATATTTTGTGAGGAACGACTATCTAATCAGTTTAGGTAGATCTGTGGAGAAAAGGAAATTTTGAATTATTAAATGTTATCCATCTCTTTAAGGAACTTAAAGTCTAATTGCGTCCATTCAGTTTTCTGTCCCAGAGACAGCCTCTTACCAATTTCTTGCATATTCTTCTAAACATATACCTTGCATTTACAAACGTGTGTGTGTAGGGGGGCATATACAAACTGTTCTGTACCTGGCTTTTGTTGCTTTGCAGCATATGTTGGAGATCTTTCTACATCCCTACTTACAGAGCTGGTTCATTCTCATGAAAGGCTGCCTAGTAGCAGCTTGTAAAAGCTCTATAGGGGATTCTAATGCACAGCCAGGTTTCAGAACCACAGGTAGAGTGAGTATTAAAGGGGTTTAGAAAAAGTTTCATGGAATGTTAATTCCTTAAGTCTTGAATTTCACAGGGAACTGGTAGAATTCATCAGTCAAAAGAAGGCAGTAGCATGTATTTGCTTATTTATTTGAGACACTGTGTGATGGTCGAATCAGCTAGAAATAGGAAGTTTTTTCCGTTTTCCACCTTTGGGATCAAGATGCTCACTGCTGTTTCACGTTTCCTTGATGTTAAGTGAGGTGGGGGTGGACAGAGAAGGAGGCAGAAAGTAGCAAATCATAGCGTTAAACTTGCCCTGTAAAAGGAATTATTTTCTTCTATGTGTCTTTCACTCTAATACCTTTATGGAAGAGATACATGTAAATATTCATATCTTTTGTTGATCCTCACATAGATACTGATGAACATACTTTATTTTTTTTTTTTGTCTTTTTTCCGTGTCCAGCAACGGATCGCAACCCTCAGTGTTGCCCCGATGAACATACTTTAGATATACATTACTCATAACATAATTTTAAATTCCTTTCTTTGCTATTGTGGTTTTCTTTTTCTTTCTTTCTTTTTTTTTTTTTTGACTATGCAGACTCAAGAGACCTTCCTTTGTTAACTTAAAAACATCCTTTATCATCATGGCAAGTTTTTTCTCCCTCAAGATGATTTACAAAGTTCTTATTAAATTCTTATATAATATTCGTTTTGGGATGACATTTATTTGTTGTATCCCTGGTTATCAATAAAAATATAGTCTTTATCTCCACAAAACATCAGATCAACTGGACACTGTTTGCATCATAGCTTCCCTTATTCTTTATGGACATATCCCAAACAGAGCTAGATAGGTAGAAAGTAGATTGGTGAAAGGAGAGTAAGAGAGTATTAGCTTGAGAGGTTGAATAGCTAGTGGAATGACCACAGGATGGTGTAAAGCAAATATGTTTAGCTCTTTGGACATTTCAGAAATCCTTTTTGAGAACATTCTAATAGGATTATTATCTTCATGAGAGAATGGTTTATTTTTGCTTATTTGTAAGGATCCGTTTACCATTTGCATTGCCTACTCTGTGTGCTAGGTGTCAGTGACAAGCAAAACAAGCATGTTTTCTGCACTCAAGAAGCAAATAGTTTAATGTGTCAGCATGTAAATCATATTTTATGTATATATTTCATGTATCCATCATGGAACAAATTTCATTAGAAACTTGTCAACAGGATTTTCAGCTTTTTAAGGGGCGTATTTTGTACCACTGAGTACATCTTTTGGTTTTTCAGCCCCCTATTTTCCTCTCATGTTCTTTGTTCCTCCTTTTTATATTGTTTTCCTCTTGTACCCTTATTAACATAGGAGTTAATAAATCTTATTAGCCTTATTAACATAGGTGTTAGTCAACTGGATGGAAATAACTCTGGAAGCCCCAGGACAGCTGGAAGTGTGAACCCAGCTGTTAGAGGTCGGAAAAATGTCTAATCTTCTAAGATTATTGTGAACCAAAGGAACTTGGTTCAGAGTAGCAATTTAAATCCCTTGTTAAATATTGTTAAGCATATACATATGGCAGTTAACAGCTTTAATGTGCCAAAAATATAATCTTCCCAAAAGTTGAAATGCTATAATCAATTTATAAAGAAAAGCATCTATTTTTGTGAAAATAGTTTGTATGTCAGCAAGAAAATAAGAAGTTGGGTTTTTCAGAACTACAAATTTAATCATAAATTACCAGTTTGATTTTTCACTGAAAATATTTCATATGTGCAAATTATAAATTTTTACCTTAGCTGATATCTGGTAATAAGGTGATATATCTCAGGGTTAAAATACTGTATAAAATATTAACAATTTAAAAGTGAAAATGCCTATTGGCATCCTCATACTTTTAGAAGGAATATCAACTTATTAAGCCAATTAATAAGCCTTTTAATTGGTTAGCAAAATAAGATTTTGGACCAATAAAACCATTGTTATAGTATTCTAAGCATTTTATGTATATTGATTAATTTTCTTAACGGTCCTTTGAGGGAGGTACTATTATTATCTCCATCTTTACAGATGAGGAGATCGAAAAACAGACAAGTAAAGTAAGTTACCCAAAGTCACACAGCTACTAAGTGGGTTAGCCAGGATTCTAACATAGGCAAACTGACTCTAGAGAGCCTGTATTTTTCTCAACTCAAAAATTAATTAAAAATTGAAGACAGTTTTTTTTCTTGAGACAATTTTTTCTGGTTAAAATAGCCATTTGAGTGCCTATTGTGTGCTCTCAAGAGACATGATTGAAGAAAAAAATATATTAAGCCTAATCATAAAGCCCAGTTTCCTAATTAGATTCAGACCTCATAGCTAAGAAGCTGTTGACCAGGGCTATGTAGGCTGACAGGTACCTAACAGAACCATAATAATAATATTAATAGCTGCCATTTATTACTTAGTATATTTACTGTGCCATTGCTTACTATATGCCAAGCCCTGTGCTTTACATATTTACATACATTGTCCTGTATAAATTTAGGGGAACACAGGGAGCACAGGGAGATTAAGAAACTTGCTCAAAGTCAAAACTAGTAGAGCTAGAAATCAAACCAAGTCTTTCTAATTCCAAAATCTGTTCATCCCACTGAAGCTAGTTGTCACTTGTTTATCTGGTGGCATGGAACTAGACTGGGTAGGCCTTGTCTGGCCTATAGCCGTCCTAAGACCTAAACTGACCCCAGAGTTAAGATAAGAAGGGAAATATGAAGAGCAGGTTATAAATTATCCTCTATATTCCTGGAGTCCATTCACCTTTCAGGCCATTTTCCATTCCCCTTTCTTGATATTAGTGTAGAATTTAAAAGGGAACACAATGACTTTGGTTATGTCAAATGCCAAAATGAAGAAATCAAGTAGGTGCTTCGGATGAGAAGGTGAACTTTTGATAAACAGGTGAAAACCTGGACAGAAGCAAAATTTCAAATATGTAAATTTCATTACCGCAGTCTTCTACCATCTAAGGAAAGATGAAAAATCTAGTAATTTTCGAGTATATTGTGAGAGTTTCCCTTTTCACCAACTGTTGCCTTTAGTTCCTGTGCCAAATTCTTTAAAAATTCAAACTGAACAGACTTTAAAAAAACTTTACCACAATGTATTGGTTTTCAAGTAAGTTTGCAGCACAGTTAATAATCAACAGAAATTTACTGGGGTCATTGTGTACTTGGTACTGAGAGAGAAATCTTAGGAACTCAATTCAGGTAATAGGGTGAATAAAATATCTCAATATTAGGTCATAAGTGAATGGAAATGTGGGAATGTGTATTAATAAAATGTTGAAGGACTTTCTGTGGGGTGATCAAGTGAAGTTTTACCAAGAAGGAGGAATTTGAGTTGGGCTTTGAAGATTACGTAGTGTAAAATTGCTTGGTGAAGAATGGGAAGAGCATTTGGAGCAAGAGGAATACCTAAAGTCTACTGACAGGGAGATCTTAAGGAATTTGACCACCCGCTCTTCTATCACCAAGAGTAGGGAATATAAATGGGAGCATTATCTGAGAGGAAAAAAGAGAATGTTAGGCAGATTCTAGGGAATTCTGGTTAGTCATTAATTCAGTTCTGTTCTCATCAAGTGTCCAAAAAAAAAAAAAAAAAAATGCCAGCTAAGCAACAATTTCAGATGATTAAGACAATAGAAAGTGCTAAAGTTGTCACTGCCCCACTCACCAAATGGCAGTGAGGCAGTTCTTCTATAGTTGAAAGCTATTCAACAAAGGTCAGATTGTCACCTATAGGAATCACCTTCCACCCCCCACCCATCCACAAACACACAGTGGTCTAATAAATACTGAGCATTTTGTTTTAGGACAAAGTGTGACGATTTGTATATGAAGGGAAGTTTTATGAGAAATAAATGGAGTGAGAGAGACTAAAGGAGGTTATGTGCCAAGATTTGAAAGTGATTCTTAGAAAATTTGCTCTCAGAGTTGTGCATTTTGTGTGTCCTGCTGCATTTGCTATTAACATATCTGTTAAAGGTATAGTGATTCTAGAATTCTTTCAGTGGGGGGTGAGTGAGGGATGGAGTGGGTGGGCATGATAAAGAGTAGGGAGAAGTTATCCCTTTCTGTGAGAGAGAAGCTGAAGCTTATGTAGTTGTTCCTTTTAGTGCCCTTCAAAGATTTGAAATTACTTTTGGTTTAGGAACATTAAATTTTTATGTTATTAAATTTGACTTTTTAAAATTATATTTTATACAGTTCAAACTATTTTTTGATTTACTAATTTATCAAATTTACTGTTTTTATTTATTTGCCAAATTTACTATTAAGTGTTGAAATTATAAAATAAATGTAGCTATACATGTTTTGCCAGTTGATTAGAATTGGCCAAAACCTGACGACATCACTGACATTTTAGTAAATGTCCGATTATATGGCGTGAAGTGAGGGAGGTGAACAGTAGAAGCTGGAGAGAGGAACTTTGAGGATTAATAGCCAAGTTTTGCCTAAAGTGTCTTTAACTAATTGGAATGTTCCTATCTCTTTCTTCCTCCCTAAGCCTGGTGGGAATCACCCTTATTTATGTATCTTATATGTTTATAGATGAGTTTATACTGGTTTAGGTTTTTCATGACACATCTAACTTTTTTTTTTCTTTTTTGCTTTTTACTTAATTCTTTTGGTGTCATCATCACTTGTTATGAGTGAGGAATGTGGCCATAGTCAAGGTAGAGCAAGGTATGAGAAGACAAACCATGAGTTTCTGAAAGTGCCAAATAGGCTTCCGAGGCCTTGAGTTTCTGTTCTGGTGGGAGTGCAGCACCTATTACTTAATGAACGTCACTTTCAAACTTAGGGAAGTTTGGTTTTGAACTCTCTTTCATTAAATGCAGAAATAGCTCTGACACATCTTTTCACTTGTCTGCAGTGATCTTTTTCTTTGCCCCATCTTAGCTACCCACTGTTATCACACTTGGACTTTATCGCTGTTTAGACTGTACTACGTCGAAAATGTCAAATTTGAAACATTCTACTCTTTGAGCATAATCTCCGCTCTTTACAGGTCACTTTCTCAAGGCCTTTCACTGGATGACTCATTGCTGTTTGACTGCAAGGAGACCCCTCAGATCATCTCCCCATTTTCTTGCTGCCTTCTGTCTTCACACCTTTGTTGTTCAGGGTTTATCATGGAGTTTGTTTATAAATCATCATTATATTAACTCCCTTGTAAATATCTTCAACTCCTTTTGTGGTCTTTACCTGTAGAATCCCCAGCTCTGGATGGACCCAACCTTCTCTTCTGGGCCTGCACCACGTGGCTGAACGTTGCTGGAAAAAAAAAAAAGTCACATAACTGTGCAGAAATGGTCTGGAATTTGTTATCACAAACCTCATATGGACTCTCAACACTGACTAGTGATGTTACTGTGTTTCTTGGTCATTCATTCTACAGACTATTTTATATATTTTTTCCTCCCACCTCTCTTTTCTCACATCAAACTAAGCTGAGAAAACAGAAGCCTTCAGACTTTAGTATGAAGTCCAATTTCTCTATTTTTTCTTTTGTCCCTTGTGCTTTTGGTGTTGGGTCTAAGAAACCACATCTTGATCCAAGGCCGTGAAGATTTACTATGCTTTATTTTAGGAGTTTTATAGTTTTAGTTCTTACATTTAGGTTTATGATCTATCTATGTTAATTTTGTATATGGTTTGTGGTAGGGGTCCAGATGCATTCTTTTTGTTTTTTTGCGGCTGGCAGGTTCTGGGATCCAAACCCATGACCTTGGTGTTATAAGGCTGCACTCTAATCAACTGACAGATGTATTCTTTCACATGTGTGTTGTGTTGGTATCATTTGTTGAAAAGACTGTTATTTTCCCATGGAATGATCTTGGCACCCTTGTTGAAAATCATTTGGCCATAAATGTTAGGGTTTATTTCTGGACTCTCAATTCTATTCCATTAATCTCTGTCTATTCTTATACCATTACCACACCGTCTTGATTACTATAGCTTTGTTAAGTTTTGAATTCGGGAAGTGTGAATTCTCCATCCGTTGATTCTTAACCTTTTTGGGGGGTGACAGAAACCTTTTTGAGTATCTTATAAGAAACTGTGGACCCAGGAAATGGTGCATAAATCTATGAAAAATTTTGCATAAGGTTAATTTTATTGGATTGGACATTTGTAGTCTTTCGTTAAAAAAATAACTTTTTAAACAATTAGCATATTTATCATTTGCTTTCTGTGAGAAACAATGAAGTAAATCCAAGTGGGACAAATAAAGTAAATTTCAGTTCTACTCAAAAGCAAATTGCAATTACTTGATTCGATTACATGGATTCAGTATTCAGATGGCAATGTCATGTTATTTTTTGACATCTAGTTGGTTTTGACTTTTTGGACTTGATTGCACCAGGCTCTACTCAGGCTCTCAAATACCTTATGGTAGCAAATGTACTGTGGTTCTCAGGTGAGAGAGTTGGCTTGTTTTAGGGTACCCAAAGATCTCTATAATTCACTGTTTTCAATATTATGTTGTAGTTATTAGATTAATACATTTCAAGATTTTTGTTTGCTTAATTTTTTACATGGTTGTAGACAGAATTTCACCCTTAAGAGTACTTCAGTTGTGAAATAACAATAGAGAAAAGTGTCTCTAAAACATAAATATACACCTATGTAATAACAATCACCCAGGACCCCAGGATACCGCTCTTCCCCCAGTCTTTTCTAGGTCACATTTCCCTAGAGGAAACTACTGTCCTGTTATGATTCATCTCATCCTTGCTTTTCTTCATAGTTTTATCATCCTAAACACTATACTTCAACTTTCCCTGGTTTTGAACTTTATGCATAAATGTAATATACCATATATGTTTTTTAATGTCTTTTTTTTTTAACTTGGTGTTAATTCATAGAATTCATTCATTTATTGCATAGGGCTGTAGTCCTTTTATTTTCATTGCCATATAGAATTCCATTATGAGAATATACTGTAATATATTCATTTTACTGTTGTTAGACTCTTACAGATAATGATTTTGTAACCATTCCTGTATAGGTAGATATCTTAGTGCACATATGCATGAGTTTCTTTCTTTCTTTCTTTTTTTTTTTTTTAAAAGATGACCGGTAAGGGGATCTTAACCCTTGACTTGTTGTTGTCAGCACCACGCTCTCTGAAGTGAGCTAACCGGCCATCCCTATATAGGGATCCGAACCCTTGGCCTTGGTGTTATCAGCACCACACTCTCCCAAGTGAGCCACTTGCCGGCCCTTGCATGAGTTTCTTTAAGGTATATTTACCTAAAGAGGAATTACTTGGTTATAGAATACATGATTCTTCAGTTTTGATGCAAATTGTTTTCTAAAGTGGCTGTATCAGATTATTCTCCAGCCAGTGGTACATTAAAGTTCCCATTGCTCCACATCATCTTCAGTGTTTGGTATCATCAGACTCTTTAGTTTTAGCCAGTCTGGTGGGTATATTATGGTACAGGGTGAGCATCCCTAATCCAAAAATCTGAAATTGGAAATGCTCCAAAATCCAGAATTTTTTGAGTGCTGACATGACGCTCAAAGGAAGTGCTCGTTGGACCATTTTGAATTTGGATTTTTGGATTGGGGTGCTCAATTTGTATAATAATGCAAATATTCCAAAATTCAAAATTCAAAATACTTCTAGTTCCAAGCACTTCGGAAAAGGGATACTCAACTTGTATTTTATTGCGGTCTTAATTATATTTCCTCCAGTTACTTATGAGGGTAAACCTTTTCATGTGTGCATCAGCCTCTTGGATTTCATTTTATGATGTGCCTATTCAAATCTTTTGTCCACTTTTCTATTGGGTTTTCTCTCTTTTTTTTTCCTTACTGATTTGTATGAATTCATTATATTCTGGGTGTAAATCCTTTAGTTGTTATCCCTGTTGTTTTCTACTCTGGCTTACTATTTCACTCTTTAGAGTTCAATGAACAGAAATTAATGTGGCCGAAGTTACCCTTTTTTTGTCTTATGGACAGTACTTTCTGTGTTTTGATTAAGACAACGCTTCCTGCCACAAGGTCATAAAGATTTTTTCTTTGTTATACAAACTTTGTAGTTTTCCTTTTGTGTATTTTTAGGTTTTTAATCTACATTGTAATAAATTTTTATGTTGTAAGATACGTGTCTAATTTAATTTTGTTTCTCATACAGATATATAAGAAGTGTTGAAGGACCTTATATTGCAAAGTCTTTCCTTGTTGTGTGCTCTGCATTGCCTCCCATGTTACATATGTGTCCACGTATACATGGATCTGTTTTTGGGCACTGGCATCTGTTCCATATTGCCTTGATTCCTGTACCTATAAGTCTTGATATCTGTAGTTTTGTGGGGTTTTTGTCTTTTCTAAGAATTTTTTGGCTCTTTATATTTCCACATCAATTTTAGAATCAGCTTGTCAGGTTCCACAGATTTTGATTAGGATTAAATCGAACCTATAAAACACTTGGAAGATAATTAATATCTTTACATTATTGAGCTTCACATCCATGATCATGATGCATATCTCCCTTTATTTAAGTCTTCTTTAAAGTCTCTCAATAATGTTTTATAATTTTCCTTAAAGAGATCTTGTGTAGTTTTTGTTAAATTTATTCCAGTGTTCTTGACATTTTTTATGCAGTTGTACATGTTGTTTTATTTTATTTTTTAGCTTTATATTGTTGTTATATGGAAATACAATTAATTTTTATGTACTAATTGTATCTAGCAATCTTCCTTTTTATTCTTGTAATTTATCTATAGATTCTTTTGCTTTTTCTACATGTGTAAGCATAGCATTTGCAAATGATAGCTTTGTTTTTCTTTGTCAATCCCTATACCTTTTAATTATTTTTCTTATTTTACTATACCAGCTTGATCCTCAGCACAGTGTTCACCAGAAGTAGTGATATCAGGCCTTCTTGTCTTGTTATTAATCTCAAAGTGACTGCTTTCATGTTATTTGCATAGGGTTTTTTTTTTTTTTTGTCTTTTTTGTGACCGGTAAGGGGATCGCAACCCTTGGCTTGGTGTCGCCCACACCGCGCTCAGCCAGTGAGTGCACTGGCCATCCTTATGTAGGATCCGAACCTGCAGCGGGAGCGCCACTGCGCTCCCAAGCCCCGCACTCTCCCGAGTGCACCACGGGCTGGCCCTGCATAGGTTTTTTTTTTAGAAGTGCCCTTTACCAGGTTATGGACCTGTCTTCTAAGTTTACTAAAAAGTTTTGTTTGTTTGCTTTCTAATCATAAGTAAATGTTGAATTTTATCAAATACTTATCCTGCATCTTTTAAAATGGTCATACAGAGGCTGGCCAGTTAGCTCAGTTGGTTAGAGTGTGGTGTTGTAACACCAAAGTCAAGGCTTTAGATTCCCGTACCACCCAGCTGAAGGAAAAAAAAAATTCATATGGTTTCTTTCTGTTAATCTATTTATGTGGTGAATTTCACTGACTGGTATTTTTAGTTTTAAAAACCACCTTGTATTCCTGGTATAAACCCAACTTAATATTTATGTGTTTTCTCATAAATGATAAATGAGGGTGACCTATAATCATTCTATCCAAGTTTTGGTACGAAGGTTATGCTGTCATAAAATGAGTTAGAGAGTAAGTCCTTTTTTCCTTCTCTCTGAAGCAAATTTTATATAATATTAAAATAATTTATTCCTTGCATGTGAGGTCATCTGGGCCTGAAGTTTTCTTTGTGGGTTGATTTTAAAAATTACTAAGCGATAGTTACAGGAGTATTCAATATTCTATTTCTTTGTGACACAGGCTCATTCGTATTTATATTTCTTAATCTCTTAGTGTAAGATTGTTTGTAATACCCTCTTTTACATTTAATGTCTATAGAATCTATAGTTCTGTCCCTTTTTTCATTCATAATATTGGTAATTTACGTCTTCTCTCTTTTATTTTCATCTTGCTAGAGGTTTTCCAATTTTGTAAGTCTTTTCAAAGAATCAATTGTTGGCTTCAGTATTCTGTTACATGTTAGTTTTCTATGTCATCGATTTCTGCTTTTGTCTTTTTCCTTCTTTCTCTGTTTTTAAGGTTTATTTTGCTATTCTTTTTGTAACTTCTGGAGGTAGATGCTTAGCCATTAATTTCAGCCTCTTTTTTTCTAACACGTGAATTTAAAGCCATACCTTTCTGCTTATAAATTCTGCATCCCACAAATTTTATTATGTAGTATTTTTGTCGTTGTTCAGCTCATAATAATTTTCAGATTTTTCGTTATGATTTTTCTTTTCACTCATATCTACTGACATTCATTCCATAACAGGTGGCATTTACATAATGGTTGAGGGTTTTATGGCATATAATTGTATTATTTCTGATGTCTCTACTGCTGCTAAGAATGAATCACTTTGCATATATTTGGATATACTCTGTTCCACAATTATTTAGCAAGTATGTAGAGAAGAGAATAACATTTATCCTTGCATATGTTTCTGTGCTCTACAGAATTTGTCAGTGATGTGGTTGTACATTTCTTAGCTAAATTTCAACCATTGTATTATAGTTTAGTAAAGAATTTTGACTTATTTGCTTATTGACTTTATTTTTATTTATCTTAGCTGTGTTGGAGTAGAAGAACATCATGCTGTTGACATTGACCTGTATCACTGTCCCAATTGTGCAGTTTTACATGGTTCCTCCTTGAGTAAGTACTAGATGCTTAAGTAAAAATTGATGTTTTGAACTTAACATCTATGTTATAGTACCTTAACCATACTCTGATTAGTTATATTACACCCACCAAGAACTATAGGGAAGATTTTACTGAAGGTATTTAGAATGCAGTTTTTGTCTGAATTATTAAATAAGTCAAAAGATTAAGGGAAAAAATACTGTTATTCTTAATTGCCATTGCAGAGTACCCAAACCGAAGTACATATTTTCAAAGCTTTCAATTTGAGGAGTGTGGTAAAGTAAAATTTTTCTGATTCTGGAAACCGATTTTAATTGTTTTTATCTTCTCACTAATAAAAGATCTTTCAGTAGTATTTTGGAACAGTATGCAGAATAAGACTTTGATGCACACATGCATTATGTTTTTAGGAGAAAATTAGAGTGTTGATATGCTAAAATATTACTTACATCTTCTGAATTTGGTTGTTATACTGAGTATGGCCTAGAGTTCTGCCCAGCCATCCTCTTTGCTTGAAACCCTTCTCTTGAGGTCCCAAGGAAGATAGAGGTACAGAGGATAAGTCCAGACTAAGTCTCTGACCACACTCTTCTTCCTAAAAGGGTAGGGCAAGGAAGGGAAGCCTCTGAAGTATACCAATATCACACACTTAACGATATTTATTTTTAGCCTTTTACAGATGCTTCAGAAGAATAAATTGAAATATTGTCATTGCACCAATGTGAGAAAAAATACTTAAAAGGCTTTGGACTATAACTTGTTTTTTTTTTTTTTTTTTAAACTTAGGCTGCAAATTAGTGCTTTTGTGTTTACAATATTAAAGGGAAAACTGTAGACTTTTGTTATTTTAAAACTGGAAGGAATGTTTGCCTGAACATACCTTCATACACACTTGGGTCATATGTAGGTAACCTATGCGACCTCTTTATTTTATTTTGAATGCAGCTTTTTTTCTAGTACTTTTTTTTTTAGTAGAAATTTTGTTCTGGTGTTATACACAAATAATTTTTGCAAAGACGCTTACTAACAACTGACTGCTCATCTGTTTTATTAGAAGTATTAATTTTCCCCATTTCTTTGTAGAAGACTTAGAAATTTAAGCTATGTGAATGCACTAAAATATTTCCTTGTAAAATATAGGTTATCTATTTTCTTAGTTACAGAGTATAAAACTTGAGGTTAGCAAATTGGTAGAATTGTTTTATGTGTAATTGACTAGTTTATTGTCATGAACATTTTTAAAGGATCTTCCTCTGTGTAGCTCTGAAGTATGTGATACATAACTTGAAATAATTGCTGACCAAGAGTAATTTTTGTAGGAAGTAAATAATACAGTGTTTATCTCAAGGGAAACAGAACTAAAAGTTATAACGTTTTCAGTTTAGAATTTAAGTATATTAATCTCCAAATGAAGTAATTTGAATCTAACCTCTATGAAATTGTAAGTGAGTTACTGTAAGGCAGAATAATGTGCTACCACATGTGTGCACTCTACTTTGTGTTTTTCCTTTGTGATTTAATTTTTTAAAAAACTTGTCATGCTCACTAAATAGATTACACAGTCCATAATGGATCATGACCTGCACTTTGAGTAATGATGTGTCTGAGAGAAGCTTGCCTATTTCGTGGCCCTTCTTATGCTTCTCATTCTTGAAGAGCATGAGATCAGGCATTTGCTATCTTCTGGGCAAAGGTCCAGCTCTGAGTACTCATAGGGAAAATGCCCAAGATTCAGTAATCTGTTTTATCTTGATTTAACGCTCACCTTTCCACCCCTCATCTTCCACCTCCAATTTGGGTAATCCCTTTTGATCCCTTTCCCTCTGCTATTTAGCCTCTCCAGCTTGCTACCTAGGGTTTCCTGTTCCTTTTAGAGTTCCCCAGGAATCATTATAGATACCATTGGACAGTGTAATACCCACCTACTATGAGGAATTTAAATTTTACCCTCTTAATGGGGATTAGAACTCTATTTGAAGGCAGATATCAAAAAACAGCCAAACATTTAAATACATATTCTCTGTATTTCCCAGGCACATGCAATTCAGACACAAAATTTTCTCTTCTTTCCCTATGACCACTACTCAAATATTCCTTCAGTGGCCTCCTTACTTTAAGAAATCCGGTCAGCTCTTGCAGTGGCAGATTTTATGTTCTAAGTATGTTGGCCTAACAGGACAATTATATTCTTCTGTTAACCTCCTACAAGTCAGCACATTTAAAAGGAAATGATAGTAATTGGCAGCTTATTACACCCAAGTTACTATAGTGGGTAAGTAACTACTTGACATATGTTATCTCCTTTGATATTTATAACAACTTGATGTGAAAAATGAATAAAAATTATTTAACTAGCCCTTTAATGTGGCTATTTGGCTGAGCTGGGATTTGAACCCATAGCTTCCAGTGCCAAAGCCAGTGTGCTTCGCTGATTAATCGTTTCTGCAAAAATTAAAATTGAACAATGTAGTATCATAATTCACTTGTCAAATGAGCAGCTTTTTTTAAAAAAATGGTGATGCTCATTGTTAACTCAGCACTTTGAAATAGGCTGCTTATATAATACTAGTGGGAGTGTGAGTTACTACCACTTTTCTAGAGGCAGTTTTGCAATATGTAGCAAGTGTCTTAAAAATGTTGATCTTTCTTCTAGCATTTCTATGAATTTATCCTGAGCTAATCAGGGAAACAAACAAATCAGTATATGAATATTAATCTCAACTTGGAAGAATAATTCAGAATGAACTAAATGCTTAAGAATCAAAAAATGACTATAATATGGTACATCTACATCTTAAAATTCTAGGTTGCTTTTAAATTGTTACTGAATATTTAATAAGGAGAAAATGCTTGTTATATAATAAGAAAGGAAAGCAAGATAAACATTGTGATCTCAGTTGAAAATAAAATGGAGTTATGTATCTATATAGTAGAAAAAAACCTGGGATGAAATATCCTTGAATTTTAGGAGTGATTTTAAATGAGAAAAAATAAGGTACAAAGAATGCCTTGATGGTATTTCCTAGGAAGGCTGCTTTGTGATTCTAAATTTTTCTCATGAGAATTTTTTAAAATGGGATTTACTCTTTCATATTGAAGATCAGGCCTCTATAAGTTACTTGGGAATCTTGTTTTAGATTCTTAAATATGAATAAGCCTGATTTCCAGTCCTGTTGATTATTTAGTGTGTCTCCTTATCCATATGACGATCCTGTATTATGATCTTTGTAAGGCGAAGGTTTAGAATAACTTGGAATCATAGAGTCGTTTTTCCCCTAATGTTTTTTTTTATGAAAATGTTCAAAACATACAGGAAAAGTTGAAAGAATTTTATACCAAGCATCTATAAACTTTAACTATTTAGATTCTATTACCATTTTATATTACTTGCTTTACCACATATCTATCTATGTAACTTTCCCACTATCTCTCCATCTTATAATTTTTTTTTTTTTTTGTCTTTTTTCCGTGTCCGGCAACGGATCGCAACCCTCAGTGTCGCCCCCAT